AAATTGGCAAAGTCTGTTGTAATTCCGGATCTGACACAAACCAGAATTACACCACATAATATTGTAAATTAGAAACATCCCACAAAAGTCACATTCCCCAATGAAAGCAAAATCAATATTGCCAGGTGTCTTCAAACTCCACCTCCAGCTCTCAGCAAGGACAACCTCTGATCCCATGGGAAAGAAAGTCACCTAGTCAAAACAATGCTCACTATCTATTCCCTCCTCCCAACCATAAGAAAGAGAAGGAATAAATGAGTATAATATAGGGCTAACTAAAATGGCTACACACATGTCAACTTTCGGGTTCGACAGCAGGTGAGTTACAAAATGTAGGGGAGGAATGGATCATATTAATTCTATTTTCTTTGAAGCTTTGCCTTCACTTTCAGCAAAACACTCAAAGGATGTAGAGAACCACAGAAATGGCCTTAAGGCAAATATTTTCATATTCTGCTTTTACAGAAACAAAATAGACAGAACCATTCCTTCAGCCCTGGAGTGGAGATAGCGTTAGGAAGAGACTCTGGCTGCCTAAACAAGGTATAAGAGGCTGGGGAGGAAAAACATACAATCAGACTTGTCATCTATCCTTCACTGTAGTCTACCCACTTAATACAGATAGTCCTAGACTTACAACAGTTCATTTAGCGTTCAAAATTACAACAGCACTGAAAAAAACTGACTTATGACCATTTTTCACACTTACAACCGTTGCAGCATGCCCATGGTAAAATGATCAAAATTCAGATGCTTGGCAACTGGCTCATATTTATGATGGTTGCAGTGTTCCAGTCATGTGATCAGCTTTTGCAACTTTCTCACTCGCAAAGTCAATGAGGAAGCCAGATTGACTTAACAACCGTGTTACTAAATTAACAATTTCAATGATTCATTTAACAACAGTCATAAGAAAAAGAAAAGTCATAAAATGGGACAAGCCTCACTTAACAAATGTTTCACTTAGCAACATAAAGTTTGGGCTCAGTTGTCCCAAAGGTGCCTTTTTAGGTGGCAACTGGACTTCCTTGTTTTTTCTTTGAAGATGTTTTGCTTCTCATCCAAAAAGTTTCTTCAGCTCTGACAGGATAGTGGGGAATGGAAGACTTTATATTCCTTGCAGACAACTGGTCATTTGCATCCTTTTAGTGGGTCGTTGAAGCACTTGGAGATTTATCTGTATCCTCAGGGTTGCCTGAGTAGTGCTCCTGGTTCCTGTAGTCTGGAGTTTCCCTCCCCCTCTCTGGAAACCCATTCCTACTCCCACAACATTCAAAGGGTGTTCATTCCAAATTGTATAGCTAAAAGTCTGTAGAGCTTCTCAGTCATCTAGGCCATGGTTGTCCCAAACGCCTTCAAAGAAAAACCAAAAAAGTCCACTTGTCTCCTGAAAAAGGAGACAACCTTTGGGACCATCATGACTTGGATGACTGAGAATCTCTACAGACTGGGCTCAATTGTGGTCGTAAGTCAAGGTATACCTGTATAGTTCTAGTCTTTCTTTGGAGTGACTACATCATCAGACTAATAAAGGCTAAGCATGGTCTTCATCGCCCGAGAAGTTATCCATCCTATATTTGGGATTATTCTGTTGCCAATACATCTGGGTACCCTTAGTATCCTTCAATCAAGGAAGAATATTTGTGACTTTGTGCCAGCTGTCTAATTTTGATTGCTCCAGTGACTGTATCAATCTAGACCACTGTTTTTTGTACTACAGTAAGGTGACCAGACATCCCGCTTTTGGCAGGACAGTCCTGATTTTTAACAATTTGTCCCGCATCCCGCGGCATTTTAAAAAAGTCCCGATTTTTGGAAAGAATGCACGACAAGCTAGGGAACGGCGGGAGAACTGGAAGGGAATATACGGTCTTCACTCACCCTCACCCTTGCCTCTGTTGGATTGCTGGTCCCCGTTCGCTTACCCCGCCCACTCCCAATCTATTGCTGAGTCCCAGCTGATGGCTAGAGGGAAAAAAACTGTTTAAATTCTTGCCGCCGGGCTTCAAAGGGCTGCCTTACAGCTGATCAGTGTTAAAAGAAAACAAATGAGTAGACTGATGCCTGCAAAAATAGAAAAAACAGCCCCTTTCAGCTTCAGCATAGGTTAATTACCATAAGTTCATTTGATCAGCCTCCCGACTCTCAGCTGATTTGCTCTCAGCTGTTTTGCGGAGGGCTCTGTTGCTAGCTAGCTGCAAAGAGGTAAATTGCTGGAGCAAATGTTTTTTTCCCCTAGCTATGCTGAAAAGCGAAACTGAAAGTAAAGCAGGGTCTTTGCTGCAACGTGACAAAATGAGGCAGAGAGAGATTTCTTTTTCTTTTTCCTCACCAAAAAAGGTAGGTGCAAAACTGCAAACAATGGGAAATTTAGGGCAAAAGAGGAGGTTCAGGATTTTAAAACACAAAAGGAAAAAAGCTCTATTTAACTAGGGAATTGTAATAATTGAGATACTATTAATTGTATATTGTGTTGAAAGCAGAAATGGTTAAGTTGTGGTTTGGAGGAATATATGGGGGAAATTATTTGGTTTATTATTATTGGTAAATAAAATTAATTAATTTGTAAGAAATTGGATTGCATGGAAATAATTGGAATATTCATGTTCATATTGATTAATATACAAAAAAAGTAATATAACTAATTGATTTATATTAAAATGTTGAATTTGTATTAAACAACTGTAATATTACATAATTAACCAATGTGAGGATGGATATAAAAATAGATGACAATGGGAAGGGGTATAATATAGAATAGAAGGGAAAAATTGAATTTGATTAAGATTAGAGATGAGGATGAAGGGTAATATTGGTTTTTTAAAAAAATAGATGAGGAATAAATATGGCAAAAAGGAAATATAGAAATTGTAAATTTAATTGAAATGACTAAACACTGTTTAACTTGTGAACCGGCCAAATACTCTGTTCAAAGAAAATACATTGTATGTTTGTATGTGTGTTTCTAATTATTGCTATTTATTCATATTTGTTATCTTTTATTCTTTAAAGTTTAACAATTCATTCTTTATCTTAATATCTTTATATTTGTTTGGGGTTGCCTTTCTTCCATTTCATCTTTTTTATTGTACAGCAATCTTTCTCCTCAAACCTACCACCTCTCTCTTTTCTTTCCTTCTTACTTTCTCCCCCCCCGCTTCTTCTCCTCCCTACTTCCTCTTTCTTTCTCCTTCTCCTCTTCTCTTCCTCCCTCTCTTACCTTCACTCCTACTCTAATTTCCCTTCCCTTCCTTCATCCCTCTCTATCGCTGTATCCTTTTATGCATATGGACTACTCAGGGGGCTGAAAAAGTTATTTTTGACTGGTCTTCGCACTTTTGACCAGTCTTCGAACTTACGACTGTCCTCACATTTTACGTTTTTGCCCTATCTTGTCACCATGGTGAAGAGAAGCAGTTGTGAAATGAGTGACACGGTTGTTAAGAATGCTACAATGGGCATAAATGATGACCAGTCATAAGTGCGAAGACCGGTCAAAAGTGCGAGGACCTGTTAGAAATCACTTTTTTCAGCTCTCTGTGTAGTCCTTTTGTGCACATGGACTACTCAGAGGGCTGAAAAAGTTATTTTTGACTAGCGACCCCCCCCCCCCGGGTCAATGGTGTCCCTCTTTACCAATGTTAAAATCTGGTCACCTTATACTACAGATTTTCATCATATTGTATGCACTTAGGAGTTTCAGTTCTAGAGTACACATAACTAAATGGATACCTTATTATTTGGTGTTGTGTGCACCAGATTTTACTGGTACAATTATTATCATGCACTTTCTCACTATGGGATGGTGAATATATATAACTACTGTGTTTCCCCGAAAATACGACATGTCCTGAAAATAAGGCCAAGCCTGATTTTTAGGCTGGGTGTAAATATACGCCCTCCCCGAAAATAAGCCCTAGTGAAGGGTTGGGTGTGGGCAGCACAGAAGGCAGCCCTTCCCTTCCTTGGTCAGCTAATGGCAGCTGGGCTTATTAATGGCAACCCATGGATCAGCTGAGCTGATTGGGAGCTGCCCCAGAGTTCTTGGCACTCATCCGCCTCCCATCCATCCATCCCCCTAGCCTGAAAACTCCCACCCTGCTCACAGGAGAGCAGCCGCCCAGCACTTCTTGCCACTTAGTGCCCACCCAGCAGACACACCCCCCCCTGGCCAGGCAAAACATCACTCACCAACCGAGTGGTATCCCAGGATCACGATGTGGGTGAAGCCAGTGAGCACCAGGTCCTTGAGGTGCCTGCACTGCTGCCATTCCAGCACTGAGGCTGGGATGGCAAACCCTGGCTGGAAGCCGCTGGAAGCAGAGAAGAGGCTGGTTGAGCCAGCTGTCTGCTGCTGAGTCTTTGAGAGCCGGGGCAGAGAGTCTTCTGGCAGCCGTGGCAGAGAGGCGGTGAAGGGTGAAGGGAGCCACAACCCCGCATGGGGAGTCTGTGCTGCCGCCATCCCAGCACTGAGGATGGCTTCCTCTGCAGCTTCCAAACCCCATCTGGAAGTGGAGAAGAGGCCGGTCAGGCCAGCCGCCTGCTGCTGAGTCTTCTGGGAGCTGGGGCAGTCGCATGGGCCTGCAGGAAGTCCCACTCTATGGTTCCAGGTCCATGGGGCTGCCCTGGCTCCCAAAAGGGAGGTAATGTCAAACTGCCTTTTTATTTTTGCCAAGAAAACTGGGTGGATATGGCTTACACAAGTTTAGCCAGCTGACAATGAAATTTCCAGGTTGAAAGGCCACTTAATATAAAAGAACACTGAACACTGAACTTACATGAGTATAACAGAATAATCAAAGCAATAGTCTTTCTAATAGTAATATACTTGTGTGAAAGCTGAATATTGAAAAAGAGTGAGAGAAAGTATGGAGATGCCTTTGAATTATGACTCTGCATAATTTACTGTTACATGTTACTGAGAAAACAATGGCCTGCAAGAAGAACCAATCAATCAAGTAAGCTCAGACCATATAAAAACTGACTGCTTCCTTGAGGTAATAAGGAGCAAGTAGAAAGTCACATACTTTGGACATGAGTTGGGAGTGGACAATGGACTAGAGAAAAGGACTATGCTTGGTGAGGATACGGGAAATAGAAAAGGGAAGACAATGGATAAGACAGATCATAGAATCAAATAAATTACAAAGCTGTCTTTGGAAAAGCTACAAATCACTACTAGAAAAAGTTTGGGAAGGGAGTTTATCCAATTATCTCTGAGGATCCTGACTTAATGGCAATTAGCTATGCAGCTAAATTGTTATTAGATGACTCACGGACTTAAAAATCCTTGCTAATCACCTGCAGATCGCTTGGTGATATATAAATAGATCTTATTTTATTTTCTTTATCCTCTCCTAATGTAAAATATAGGGATGCAGTGGCTCAGTGGCTAAGATCCTGAGCTTGTTGATTGAAAGTTCGGCAGTTCAGTGGTTTGAATCCCTAGTGCTGAGTAATGGGGTGAGCTCCCATTATTTGTCCCAGCTTCTGCCAACCTAGCAGTTCAAAAGCACGTAAAAAAATGCAAGTAGAAAACTGGGACTACCTTTGGTGGGAAGGTAGCAGCGTTCTGTGTGCCTTTGGCATTTAGTAATGCTGGCCACATGACCACGGAGACATCTTCGGACAGCGCTGGCTCTTCAGCTTTGAAACGGAAATGAGCACCACCTCCTAGAGTCAGGAACAACTAATACATATGTGCGAGGGGAACCTTTACCTTTACCTTTAATATAAAATAATTACTGGAATGATCAATAAAAGACAGAGTTGCTCACAGATTCTAGGCAGAACTATTTAAAAGGTGAAACTGCTTCAGACATTCATCCTGAAATTAATTTGTGGCTTAGAAATTCAATAACTAAAAGGCATCCATTTGAATTATTTTAAAGACAGTTTTGGTACATCTCCCTCCTTAGCATCTGATTCATAATTAATTAGGGAAAACTATGCTTTTTTCATTTTGTAGAATTTCTGTTCCACTTGTCCATCTGTGATGATTAAAACAACTTACAAAATGACTATAAACATAGAACAGCAAACAAGACTATTCAGACAAAAGAGAAGTGTGTAAAAACAAGAGCATCAGGAGCATTGATTCATTATATTCAGCTCATCAACAAAATGACTATTGAAATAATACACAAGTTGGTTGTCCTGAAAGAAGACCTACACATTAAGAGAAAACTTCAGCTATTTCATTTGTTCATTAGAAAAAAACTATTAACTGGGAAATTCAGCATAATCAGTACATGTACACCTGCTTAAATAATGTTCACCTGAATCTAAGTAGAACTCTTTTACACAAAAAAAATCTGTAAGTCATTCACCTACTATTATTTATTAACTAACTTGGATTTGCTAATTACCAAATAAATGAGATGAACTTCTTATATGCAGAAGTATGCCTCCGTTTTCCTGCCCTCCATTTCCCCTTCTCCTCTTACATCCACATATAGACATTACACCGTTATATGATTTCAGTGTTAAAGGGCAATGTAAACTGAAGACTGACAAATATTCCCTACAGAAGATAAAAACATGGATTGCCCACTCTGTTTTCCAACATGATCAGGATGCTTAAGAGGTCAAGACCTGGAGTAATATATCTTTCTGTTCCACAATGGCCAGCCTAAATCTTCATGGAAATAAAAGTTTATTGTGGGAACACAGAATATAGTTTTTAATGTTTCTACAAATACACGGTTTGGAGAAAGATATGACTTGCAGGATTCCTAGCCTTTCAAATGTTGGTCGTTCTGCATATAGTCTCTAAAATGTCTTGCTGCTTGCAAGGAAAAGTGAAAATAATAATTTAGAACAATTCCACAATTGTAAAAATTCAAACACTGGGTTAAAAGCCACCCTGAGTGTAATTCTCTGATGGAAAGATATGCATATGTGTGTCACTGTAAACACTGAGAAATGATTGCATGGGAAGTGAAACAGGTTTTGTGCTGAGTGGGAAGTTGCAGAAACATATTAAATAAATATGGTATATATGCACAACATAGACAAGTGATGTGCGTGTAGGGCAGGAGCTGTGTGCTGTAATTCTATTGCTGTAAGCAATATTCTGTTGCAAGTAAGCAACAAGCCTAGCTTCCAGAAATTCTAATGTGAAGGTCAAAAGAGAATTATATTACTGTTTGGATAAAGAATGGCACATAATCAATTATCTGATTGCTATACATGCTAAATAATTGTTTAATTGCTAAGGGATATTTTAAAGCAATTCTGTATGGGATATGAAGGTATATAGAGAGCACGTTCGAGGCTGTGACATCAGTGGAGAAAGCCTTAAATAAATCAGGAGTTAATTTCCACAAGTGTGTTCTTTGTGGTTCCTGGTAGAAGTTCAGAGGCAATTCAGCATAATAACAAGGCAAATATTTGCAGATCGCATATTCCTGATCTCCCAAACAGATAGACAAAAGAAACCCTTTGCAAGCATCTCGAGGCATTCATTCTTTCTTATCCACATGATTCCTTCTCACCATCTATCCATGAAATGAAATGAAACCTTTTGTTCTTTTTCCTCAAGGAAAAAACAGTCCAGGTGCTTTTTGAAAAAGCACTTTTGAGCCCTTCATTTACTTTGATTTGATAGATGGTGAATGGATGGATGAATACATAAATAGATGGATGTCATCACATACATACAATCCCATCATGATAAGCTTTCAGAAGACTTTAAGAAGTAGAGACCCATGCTGGGAAAAATATTACAAAGCAACAAGCCTAACATGGATTAAAGAGTGGGTGAATTTGGAAAATAAAAGATTATTAAAATTAGAAGGACATGATCTGATGAAGGGGTGGCACGCCTGTTACAATATTTTGAGGATCAGACTCAATAATAAATTCAGAAGTCTTTTTCTTCAGTTAAAGAAGAGTTTATTCATAACAGGCATTCTACTTGTTCTGTCAGTTTTTACAGAGAGAAGCAAGCATGAGGTAAAAGCATTCTCTATTTATATCAAAGGGGAGGAGTCAAGGATGGGGGTGATTACATATGAATACATTAAAGGAGGAGGAATAAATTAACTCTTAATATCCTGTACATATATACATATCTCTTGTTATAGAATAAGGCATTTACTTATGACAAATCCCCCTCTAAATGCCGATTCGATATATAACAATGATTGCATTCGGATTCAGAGCTATATAGTACTTGTAATTTTGATGTCAAGTATTTGTGTTGTTTAGAAGGTAAAGGTTTAGTTAATATATCAGCTATTTGTTCTGAGGTTTCGCAGTGGATTGCTTTAATGAATCCATCCTGAGATAAATGTCTGACGTGTTTAAATTTGATATCTATATGTCTGGATCTTTGACCAATGGCGTCAGATCTTGATATTTCTATAGCTGCCTTATTATCTTCATGTATGACAAATGGTAGTATTGGATTTTTCCAAATATCAGATAATAAATCATTAAACCATACTAAATTATTTGAGGCTTTAGATAAACAGACGTATTCTGCCTCTGTAGTGGAAGTCGCTACTAAATCTTGTTTCCCAGTGTACCAGAATATTGGGCAACCATTTAAAAATAATACATAACCTGAGGTGCTCTTTCTACATTTGATGTCACCTGCCCAGTCTGCATCAGCATAACTGGTGATAATAGGTTCTTTAATATTATTGGGTTCTAAGAGTAGGCAGAAATCTATGCTGTGCTTTAGATATCTTAGTATTCGTTTGACTGCTTCCCAATGATACATAAGTGGCTTACTTACATGTCTAGATAATAAATTAAGTGGCAGAGCTATATCAGGCCTGGTCCAATTAGATATATACAAGAGAGAACCAATAATTGATCTATACAATGTATTGTTCTCGAATTCAGGCGAAGATTCATCCATATTCCTTAAAAAATCAGTCTGCATAGGAGTATCGCAAGGTTTGGCATCTCTTAAATTGCATTTTTCCAGAAGTTCTATAATTTTATCTCTCTGAGATAATTTGAATCCCTTTCTTGTCTTATTGATTTGAACTCCAAGGTATTTGTTTACCCTTCCTAGCGACTTTAAAGAGAAATGTTCACTTAGTCTGGATACAAATAAGTCTTTCTTTTCTTTATGTTTGCCTATATACAAAATATCATCCACATAGATTAACACAAATTCTAATGATTCACCTTCCTTTCTAACAAAAAAGCAATTGTCTGCAGTTGTGGCTTTGAAATCCATATTTTTAAGCACGCTGACAAGACATTCATACCAACGCTTGCCGGATTGTTTTAATCCGTACAAGCTTTTGTTAAGTAACCAGATCTCATCTCTGTTTGTACATTGGCTATGAGGTGCCCTTACATATATCTCTTTGTCGAGTTTTGCATGTAAGTATGCAGTCTGCACATCATATTGAAAGACATCAAGATTGAGTATAGCCGCTATGACTAAAGCTGTCTTAACACTTTCAGTTCTTACAGTGGGAGAGTATGTGTCAGTGTAATCCTCAGGATATTTTTGAGCATAACCTTGTGCGACTAATCTAGCTTTATATAATTTATTACCCTCTTCTAAATCTTTGATTTTGAATATCCATCTGGTGCCTATAATTGTCTTGTTCTTAGGTGCAGGGACTGGTGTAAATACACCTAATTCACGCAAGCTGTTCATTTCTTTTGTTATGGCTAATTCCCATTTTTCTTTTTCTTCCATGGGAAGTTTTAACACTTCCTCATATGTGTTAGGTGTTGGTATCTCGTCATTCACACACATTATATAATCCTTATACTTATTAGGTAATTGTCTTCTGTTACACCTGATTGTTCTTATTGGAGTGCTCTCATTATCGTGTAGATATCTTGCTTCCTTTTTGGTTAATGAATCTGTTTTTATCCTGGTGTGGTTACCTGTCCATGTTTTGTTTTTGTCATCATGTGTGTTATGTTCATGTTTCTCTCTTTCTATTCTGTCTTGTTGTTTAATGTTTGGTTTAGTATTTTGGATTATCTCGTTAAGATGTATCTTAGACCAGTTGGCCTGTTCATGAAACACTGCTGTTCTTGAGACTATGAATTTGTTATTACTGTCAATGAATCTATATCCTTTTGTGCCTGTTTCGTATCCCATGAATCTAAGCCTTCTGGATACGTTATCTCCCTTACGTCTTAATTGTTTTGGTATGTGTACGTCTGCTGTAACCCCAAATATGTGCATGTGTGAAATTTTAGGTTTCCTATTGTACATCACTTCGTATGGTGTTTTATTTAGTATGCTAGACCAGGTCCTATTTTGGGTATAGTTTGAATATAGTAATGCTTCTGACCAGAATTGTTTTCCTAAACCAGCATCTTCTAATGTACATCTAATCATGGTTTGCAGTGTCGAGTTTTTTCGTTCTGCTGTACCATTTTGAAACGCAGAAAATGGGCTAGTCGTGAAGTGTAGCATTCCTTTGTCTTTTATCCATTGTGAGAATTCTTTAGACATGAATTCGGATCCCCTATCTGTCATGATTCGTTTTATTTTGATATTGTGTTGTGTTTCTACACGTTTGTAAAATTCTTTGAATTTTTGGAAAGTTTCATCTTTGTGTTTTAAAGTATAAACAAATCCATAACGGCTATAGTCGTCTACAATAGTTAGGAAATATCTTTTTTTGTATGTGATGGATGGTGTTAATGGACCAACCAGATCCATATGTACCAGATCAAAAATTTGGTTAGAGGTTCTTGTTGCCCTTTTTGGTTTTGGGTTAGTTCTGAGTTTTGATGATTTACATACTGAGCATTCTAAATAGTTTTTACAATCCTTTATTTTAACGCCATCAGCATGTTCAATCATTTTTTGTATTACAGGGAAACTTGCATGTCCCAATTTTCTATGCAACATGTGTGCACATTCATCATGAATTGGTTTGCCTATATTGGGCCTTTTGTTATTGTGTGTATCACTAGTGGGTGTGTCTTTGTGATTATAGTGTGTTTTGGGTTCTTCATTGTCATTGTTGTTACTATGTTCACTGTCTATGTTAATGTCATCATCAGTGTTTGCATTAATGTTATGCAACCATTTATCTTCTGTTACAAGAAAGGGTAGACCCCCTTCGATAATTACACTATTCAATTTAGTCCCATTCTTTTCTAGTATTGCTTTTCCTCCAGAGAAGATTATATTTATGTTGAAATCTTGGCTTAATTTCACTGCACTAAGTATGTTATGTGATATTTCTGGTATCAACAATACCCCCTCTATTTTACCCAAACCAGGTATATTTACATTTCCTTTCCCTATGACTTGAACATTTTCTTGATTGGCTACTCTTATCATAAATTTATCATTTGTGAATGAAGACAGTATTTTCTTGTTATTTGTTGTATGATTAGTCGCCCCTGAATCTATGAGCCAAGCATTATTTTTTGATTTTTGTGTGATGAC